CAAACCCTGACACTCCTTTGAGGGCCTCGGTTTGTTATTTTCTAATCGACAATTCAAAGGGCCAACATCAAAGCCGACGGAAGTCGAGGGTGAGACTTCCAATTTTTTAGTAAACTTCTACGGCAGACGTAAGAAGAGCACAGGTGGTTTTAATCCAGCCAATTGACGAAAACCCCATCGTCGTGTTCTAATTTGCCTCGTCCCTAGACCTCATTATTCCCCGCGGCCAATTCGTTTCAGGTTACGTGGTCCATGCGAAGACCTGCCCGTTCTCCTCGGATATGTCACCGAAGTGAATTGACCGAGAAGGCCTGGAAGAACACCATGCAGGGACTAGACAAGCTACTCGGCAAGCCATTCTTTACAGTTGGTTGCCCATACTGAAAAATTTTCAAGGTCGTCTCGTATTTTGTTGGTTGGATATTTCGAAAGCAAGAACCTTAATTTAGAACAGAAATACCCTTTTATGAAACTTCAGATCTTAGTTACAAGGTCTCTGAAAAATTCGCGAAAATTAGATCTCACGCCGGGAAAGGTCATTATACTGCACAAGAATAAGAATAAGAAAAGTAAGCCAGTGAATGAGGGGCTGGAGAGAGGTGCAAGCAGGTCAGCATCGCCAAGAGCAAAGCTGAGCAAGACCGTAGGGACAAGGATTAGTGCACAGTTTAATATAAACTATGGTAGCATAGTATGACAAAGACTTCCAACTCAGATATAACACATAAAATTTTATCTTCTGATATACTTGATTTCTTTGCATCAAAAAATATAACTTTAAATTGAATATAAAAGGGGCCTAAGGTCTGCGTAACTTTTGCTCTCTTCTTGAAAAGTAACACAGACCTGTTGTGGCACCAGTTCGTATAAGGCCCATATTAAACGCCGCGAATGATTGAATAAGGAAAGCCAAGACAGCGGCAGTTGAATCAAATTCAATGGTTAGGAAATTTTTCCTTGGTACGCTGCCACAACGTCGCACGGCACTGAAATGGAAATGACTGATTCACACGGCGACATGTTCATGCGCCAAATAAATGTCACAGTTTCATATACTTTAACCGATCCTACCGTAAATAAGAGTGATGCATTTTCAATCACTTTTTTTTGTTTCGACTCAAATACGCCATTTGACTGTCCAATCTGACCTGTCCTATCTAAATTAGCTTGGTTAGAGACGGCGTTTAAACCGGGCCTTAAAAAAACTTTGATAAAGTCAAAAATGACATTCTAACCTTCCCATAATGTAAACGTAACTATAATAATTACTTATTTGCAGTCTATAGTCAAACCCCACTTTACGGACACCATACGGACACCTCATTATTATGGACAGTTTACTCGAGCCCCGTGCAAACGGACGCAACATTGTTGGGCAACAGCTCCCAACATTGTTGGATGTTACATGTTGCGTCCGTTTGAACACCCTGTTGCATGTTGTTGCGCAAAGTTTGAAACCGGTCAAACTTTTCAGCCAACAACTCCCAACATTTCTTTTGTTCCGTGATCGCCGAAGCGTAGCACAACAATGTTGGATCCGTTTGCACAGCTCGTCCAACATTGTTAGGGCCACGCACGCTCATTACGCATGGTTTACAAAGACTTATGGGTTGTATCCTCCCACGGTGCACTCCAGGTCCCAACATTGTTGGGAGTTGTTGCATCCGTTTGCACACCACTGCCAACACGCACGCAAAAATTCCCAACATTGTTGGCGCAACAATGTTAGGAGTTGTCGCGTCCGTTTGCACGCAGCCTTAGTCCCTGCTTAATACGGCCACCTTTTATGGCCCCTCAGGGTCCGTATCAACGGGGTTTGACTGTACTTTCGATAAACTAAGGGCACATTCGATAAGGCATTATTTTAGGTAAGAATACACGGGATATGTAACCAATCTCTTCTTTCGGAATTCAGAAGTCACTGACATACAAAAAACCCTTTTACGGGTTCAAAATTTCGGGAAAGCTAAATCATCTCAATCTCAAAACATAATTATGTTGAAATGGCAATCAGGCTTGTATTTGTTCTTAAACAAGCAAAACACTCCTCTCACATAAAGTCACGTGTACAACCATGAACGGGATATAAAATGATAAAGCAACCCTTACCTCCCACCCCTTCTCCACAAAAATCCAGGATAAAGTCGCACGAAGGTCAAAACGAACCCCTTTTCCATTCTTTATTTGAGTAGCGGGAGGGGGTTGATTGGGGATACCTCACACCACTCCCGTTAACCTTGTAAATGGGTGTGCTCTCCATTAGTCTCTCCGCAGCTCAGCGGGTAAAGCAGTCACCCTCAGGTGGTAGCTTGCGAACGAAGACGTATTTCCGGTCGTCGCTTCTCTCTCCAAAAAGCCCGATAATTGAGGGGTCATAGTTTCACATTCTATCGGGGACTCAAGATTTTTCCTTGTCCCAAGTTCAGGCGATCATACCCTCTTTCTCGTTCACTGTCGCGCTTCAAATCTGCCATTTATCTTAAATTATCACGAAACACGTTTTTTGTACCAGTGGACAAAACTAACATGACCGCAGCTTATGGAGAGAAAGAGCTATACTTTCCTAGGTTCCACCCCATTCATTCTTATCCTGAAATAAGGCCAAAGGAACGCGCCCTAAAACTAAGTTACAAAGTAAATAAACGACTTAATGACTCAATACATCTATTTGTTTTATAGGTTCATTTTGTTCACTGCTATAGTAATATGTGTAAGGTTGGGGCAACTGAATTTCTCCCAAATACCAGATATACAATCCCCATGTACACATTATTTGATTTTTTAACAGATAAAAAATATCCAGACATACACTGCATCAGCTACAAGAGGCATAAGTCAAATGCTCAAGTTAGCATGTTTTATAAGTCTTCCGTTGGGTAAGTCCTCAATCTAGACATCACCCAACAATACCCTTGTGCTGAGAATGTGTTCAACGGTAAATGTCACCTTGTAATATTAATGGCCAATCTTGATACAAGATTTCAAAACAATATGCTAAAGCCATCATGATCTCGAAGAGTAACCGATAGACGAAAGGCAAAACGAACATTGAAACCAATGTATAATATTGATTAATTCACAGAGTGAAATGAAGGAGTCAAGTCATGGGGAATTTGACTCTCTATTTTTCGGCACCTTCCACTCTGACTGATACCAGAGTTTTCTCGTCTACATGCTTCTGAACGACAGAGGTTCAGAACTGCTGCTCCTCATCGACATCTTGCTTCTTATCACGAGGAATGTGATTTGCAATAACTGTTATGAGAGCCTCGCCTTTGCCGCTTCCTAAAAAAAAAGAAAAAAAAACACTTTCAGTTTAAGATGTGGCCAAATTCAAATAAGACAAAAATTCAAATAAGACAAAAATTCAAAATTCAATTTTGAAAAACAAAGAAAGTGCTGCCAAAGATATTTTGTTTGAATGGTCACATCATACCAATTTCATCCAGACTTTAAAGTTAAAACTACATGACTACATCACATGTAAATGAATATATACTAAACGAATAGTACCATGCGAAAGTACTGCTTAAAATTAAAAGTTAAAACTACATACTTAATAAATAGTAGCACCTGAAAGTACTGCTGAAGAGGTTTCGTTTGAATGGCTACACGATAGGATTTCACCCACAGACTCAAAGTTAGAACTACACACTCTGTACTAGATAAATGGTTCCATCTGAAAGTACTGCTGAAAAGGTTTCATTTGAATGGTAACACTGTAGCATTTCATCCACAGACTCAAAAGTTAGAACTATTATACTAAATAAATAGTAGCACAGCATCTTAAAGTACCGCTGAAAAGGTTTCATTTGAATGGTAACACTGTAGCATTTCATCCACAGACTCAAAAGTTAGAACTATTATACTAAACAAATAGTAGCACAGCATCTGAAAGTACCGCTGAAAAGGTTTCATTTGAATGGTAACACTGTAGCATTTCATCCACAGACTCAAAAGTTAGAACTATTATACTAAATAAATAGTAGCACAGCATCTGAAAGTACCGCTGAAAAGGTTTCATTTGAATGGTAACACTGTAGCATTTCATCCACAGACTCAAAAGTTAGAACTATTATACTAAATAAATAGTAGCACAGCATCTGAAAGTACCGCTGAAAAGGTTTCATTTGAATGGTAACACTGTAGCATTTCATCCACAGACTCAAAAGTTAGAACTATTATACTAAATAAATAGTAGCACAGCATCTGAAAGTACCGCTGAAAAGGTTTCATTTGAATGGTAACACTGTAGCATTTCATCCACAGACTCAAAAGTTAGAACTATTATACTAAATAAATAGTAGCACAGCATCTGAAAGTACCGCTGAAAAGGTTTCATTTGAATGGTAACACTGTAGCATTTCATCCACAGACTCAAAAGTTAGAACTATTATACTAAATAAATAGTAGCACAGCATCTGAAAGTACCGCTGAAAAGGTTTCATTTGAATGGTAACACTGTAGCATTTCATCCACAGACTCAAAAGTTAGAACTATTATACTAAATAAATAGTAGCACAGCATCTGAAAGTACCGCTGAAAAGGTTTCATTTGAATGGTAACACTGTAGCATTTCATCCACAGACTCAAAAGTTAGAACTATTATACTAAATAAATAGTAGCACAGCATCTGAAAGTACCGCTGAAAAGGTTTCATTTGAATGGTAACACTGTAGCATTTCATCCACAGACTCAAAAGTTAGAACTATTATACTAAATAAATAGTAGCACAGCATCTGAAAGTACCGCTGAAAAGGTTTCATTTGAATGGTAACACTGTAGCATTTCATCCACAGGCTCAAAAGTTAGAACTATACACTAAATAAATAGTAGTGCAGCATCTGAAAGTACTGCTGAAGAGATGTTATTTGAGTGGTCACACCATAGGATTTTATTCACAGACTTAAAAGTTAGAGCCCCCTTTCCAAGACTCTATCATTCACTCTGGGGGTGAAAGGGTCAAAGACCACTGAAATTGACTATGATAAGAGTTTTACTTACTTCATTTCAGTTCTTGATTGAGTGTATTCAAACCACATCACTGATGGAATGAGAGTCGAGTCACGGACCATTAGATATTCACATAGAGGCCTGTGGAAACAAAGAGCTAGAGTGAAACCTTAATAATCAGGACGGTGGATCGAGGGGATGGTAGACTGCTTATAGTCCACCCTTCTTTAATTCCCTTGTATTCTCATCCCAGCCAGCGTGTTCCCAAATGAAGCAATTTTGTAAAGAAAAATAAGAGACTGCTTGCAGTCTATAGGAGTGGCAAAATAATATTATTATTGCTATGTTTTTCAAAATTGGGTTTTATCATATCAGGGTACTTCTCTTCATATTTTACCATTTATGGAGCAAAGAATATCATTTGTTATACTGAGGACTTTAAGGTAACGGTTTCAGAGTATTTTGTCATTGTTGTACTTGGGAGGGATAGTGATTTCAACAGCTAAATAGTTATTATCACAAATAAAAGAAAGCCACAAGATTATTAAAACAACACACATGTCAAAGGCTGAAACAGAACAGAAAAATATTTATTGTTGGAGTGACTTACAAGAGAGAATACAGTATTAATTAAATTGTTCAAGGTGAAAACAAAGAGAAATGATACGAGTAATTTAATTTGCCCAATTTGTTTGTCACATCATGATGAAAAATGAGACAGTATGAGAACTGTGTGATGTACAAGGGTTATAAAGCTTCACCCCAGTATATTAAAAAATTGGAAAATTAGTCTTTAATCACCATTATCTACTTACCATGTTGTTATGGTTGGAAAGAGTGGCGTTAAAACTGTTTGAGTGAACATGAACCAGGCAACACCAATTGCAGAGCCAAGGAGAAATCCATAACACACTTGATGTAGCGTGTGGTATCTAAGGTATATTCTGCAAAAGGAGGGAATAATTATGTGCTCAGGTTCAGGATGGTACCTGTAAGAAGCTGTGATCTTGTAATATTATTTTCTTACAATCACTTTGATATGCAGTGGTGGAATTCTTCACTTAAGGGTTTTCTGAGACAAAACCTGTTCTATACAGTACACATACCAGCAGATAAGTCACACTTTTTCCCCTAAATATTTCGACACAAAATAAGGAGTAGAGTTTTTCATGGAAAAAACATAACTGTAAAAACCAGTGGACCTAAGGATACCGAATTCTATATAATTTGTACCCCTGTCATGCAAACAATAGGCTCTGTTCCTTTGGTGTCCATATTGAGGAAGTTCAACTGTTATTTATTTCTGATTCCCTTTTATTACTTTTCTTTTCAACATTAATCAGTTTGCACTCACCTACTGAAACCTACAGCAACAGCAGCTAACACAACACCAACTGCTACTAAGTGACGCCACAGATTTTCTATTAAATCATCCCAGACAGTGGTTGACTGAGTAAAATGGACTAGTCTACAAAAAGAAGTACCTCATGAGATAGACATTGTCTGAGGGCAAGCTAATAAGCATTTTTTACTCTACTGTTGACCATAGCTGTCAACTTTTTAATTCTTGTTATCTCAGATCCAACATCAAACTCTTAACTCTCACTGTCCTACATTTGTCTGTGGATTGGTCAAAAAAGACAAACTGAATTAAAGTAAGAAGGCAGACAATAACAAAGCAGGAAGCCTGAATACCATAAATTTGCATGAAACAACTCTCTGCAAGTCTTCAAGCAGGCATTTTTTGTGATTTAACTGTGCTCTTTTGCTTTAATTAAAAATGATGGGTCTTGTAAGTGCAAGTGTTGTCCGTACATCAAGAATATACATTGCTGTGTATTGTAAATACACCAATTAATGTTATTTAGAACAACTGCTTTATGGCAAAACTTGTCTGTAGTTAAAACTGGCCCACAAAGAAAGTCTTCAGTGAGCAAGTTTTTAAAAGCCAATTGTCAGCAGTAGACTACCTCATACACCGTACAGTACATTTAATATTACATGTATACATACCAGTATATTATAAAGGTCTACTGCTTAACTCAAAAGCTCACCTTATATAGATAAACAGGATAGAGTAAACTGCAAAGAAGGCCATAAACTGAGCATGATCTGAGGGCATTGCATAAGAGGAATTTGGAAACACGTGATCTGCACAGAGCCTAGGATATGCCAGAGTGTGTTTTACGATCAAATTTACAACTTCATTTACTAAAATTCCAAGAAGGAATGTCATCTGCAACAAAGCAAACCATATTATTATTAAAAATACAGTTGAATAAAATATTCTTTTGTGTATAAATACCACACATTACAGTCTGTAAATGAAAATGAGAGGTACTAAACACCACAAAAAAATAACTGTCTTTAAACTTATAGAGGTTGAATGTGCAATTGTTAATATATAATTTGTCACATAACACAGCTTATTTACGAAGTTAGGCTGGTAACCAGTTAGATTTAAAACTGAGTTTAAAATTCTTTTAATTACTTTTTAAATCCCTTTATATGGTTTGACTCTCTTTCATTTATCATTTCTTATTTCTCTTAGCTATCCATCATGATACAGTTATAATTATCCTCATTTTATATCCAAAGAAACACTTGGTGATAGGTCCTCCAATCGTGCCATCAAAAGACTCTGGAAAGCTTGACTATTCAATGTCAGATGGCCAAGTCTGTTGATGTTTTTAAAGTAATTATTTAGTTTAGCATTTTTATCATGATCATAGTTAACAAAATGTCTTGTAATTTTGTATTTTAGTATGTAACATTCTCTCATTGTAATACTTTAATGAAAATTTTCAAATTTAAACTATTATTTTTATTCATTTATTTTTAGATCGTACATTGTTCACTGATGACTGTAATGTGCATTTGAATATTTTTATGGAAACTGTACACCATAAATGCATTATTTTTAACTTGTTTGTTAGTTTGTATGTTGTCAGTATAATTATTATTCGGGGACTATTATCTGATAACATCCTCGTTGATCTACATAATTATTCGCATCATACACAGGCTCGTAAAATAATTAATGTTAATTACAAGCCAGGGATACCTAACCAGATATTAAAAGTGGGAGTGGTTGTCAAGCTTGTCAGGGTAATCACCGAAAGAACACTCGTAAAGAGAGAAAATGTGCATATTTACTACATAAAATTGAAACTGCAATTTTTATCGACCAGGAATTTGACTATCTTACCGTGTGTAATTCGCGTCTGAAGATTATCAACGTTATGAAACCAACCAAGATAAAAATTGGTAGTAAACTACACCAAGCTAAAACCTTTCCAACAAAGTCCCCTATAACGAACAAAATAGGAAAAAAAAAACGATAAATGGACGACTGTAGTAACAGCAAGCAGAGATGTGTTCATAATTACAGAGAACAAACAGAGGTGTACGCTTTGAGTGTTTTCAATAATATCACGATTAAAATTCGCGTGGAGAAAAGGGGGTCTCAGCGTTAGAACGAAATTAAAAGCCAAGAATAGTAATAACTGAGCCAGGATTACCTTCCGGATATTCAACGTGAGTCAGAGATATCGTTTTCCATTTAACATTGTTTCCAGCCAAATCAAATAAGTAGGAATTGTCCCCATTTTCACACGACCGTCTCAATGTGTCTTCCGCCATATTGAATATCCCATGGATCTCGGCGACCCGTTTAATCCATGATGCCTTGCGTAACGGAAAGGTCAAAATGGCGTCCGAATCCATGGAAATAATATGGAAATTTGTAACTTGAAAAACTTTGTCGTCCCAAGCATAATATGTCCCAGTCGAAATCTTCCGAAAATGTGATATAACTGTTAAGTCTTAAGTCCACATATAAGGAATACAATATTGGTATCAAAAGCCAAATGCAATAATGGATGTAATCAGCGAACAAGATTGCTCGACAAGGAACCCAGGACAGTCAAGTGTTAATAGCAGCAGTTCAAGAAGTGGTTCGGCGACCGACAGATGCCGCCAGGAGTTAGACGACTATGGTGTAGATTTTGATGTCAGGCCTCCAAGTGGCACCAACCATCAGGTAAGTTCATTAGAAGACCGTATTAAGTTTGATTATATCACTGAAGACTTGCTTTTCTGCACCAAACACTAAAGCAAATTTCTGCATTTACACTGTACCTAACTAAAGCTTTATTTCAACTGATCAAAAATATAACTTTCACATCACTATCAAATTAGTTTCTTCAATTATTTTGAGACTTCATCTCCCTCCTGTTCTCATCTCCTCCAGGGGATGTTTTATTATACAGGGCTGGGTTGTTCAAAGCAGGGTTAACGTAACCCAGGGTTAGTACAAAATTTGAATTCAGGTATGAAAGCTAAAAAGCAAATTCAGTTTAATTCTTTTTGTCTACAATTTGATGATTAAATACTCTAAATAGAAAAGAGAAAATTCGCAAGAAAATGCTCTTGATGAAAAGAAAAAGAGACGTGGGTTAATATTTAAACCTGGGTTAGCGCTAACCGGCCTTCGAACAACTCGGCCCAGCTTGACAAATCTCTGACAAATATGCTCTGGACATTGACTGACTGCAAGTAGGGGTATATAGACCCAAGGGAGTGGGACTAGGGTGCTTCCTTATAAGAGGCTAATGAGGATGTGCGGCAGGATGGGGTAGCATTTTCCCAACTGGATTGACATAATGGGGTCCCATTTTCAATAGAGTTTCTAGAATAGGGTCATACTTTTTTCGGATTTTTGGGGGGTAAGACAGTTCTTCATATTTACAGTTAGCATACGTACCAGAATGTTTGTACTGTAGCCTATGTAAAATACAGTGTTCTTCATTCTAATTAAAAAGTGAGTCAATTCATAAAAATAGAAAGTGACTAGGTTAGGATCACGAAAATTACATATTTGCCCCAAAGTGACTAAGATGGGGTCTATAATAATTAATTGGCCACCGAATAGACTATAATGGGGTAGAGGTGCTGAGAGGCCAGTGGCACATACCCAGCAAAAATTAACCCAAGTACCCCCCTTCCCCCCGCTCCCCAGATATAATGGTAAATTGGAGACTTCGTGAGACTGTGAGACCCTGGTTTCAAAATTTGAGACCAAGACTTAAGGGTCCTTAAGAACGTTTTTCTCAATTCCAAGCCCGATACTTTCCTTCTGAAAATTCTAAGCCCGAGACACAAAGCGCCAAAAGTTTCGAGATGATGGTACAAAAAAAGCCTAATAAAATGGCCGAAAATGCTGGAATGAAAGCTAGCACAGTGGAAGCCCACCAATTTACTGCTTTGTCTTGTATTACTGTTGTAATGTACGGGCTCATTTCGATAAGCTGTACCCATGAACCCTGAAAAATTTGTTTAACAAAGACAAAAAAACGACAAATCCAAGACTCCAAGACCCGTTGGCAAAAAAAATTGTGACTGCTCAACGCAAAGATCACCCAAAAATGGGCTTAATGATACCCAGCAAAAACGCTTGCAATATTTTGAGAGTGGGCCAAAATTTTGCAAGACCCACGTTATTCAAGGTACCATCCTATACCCCTGCAAGTCATCTATTTGTGCATTTGCTAGTAGTAACAGTTGTACTACATGCGTTTTCCGAAAAAGTAAAAGAGATAGAGATAGCCAATTATGGTCCTGCTCATTCAAAACAAGAACTTGTTGGATAACGTTCAGAGGTCTGTTTAACAGCTGCCAGCTGCCTGAGAATATTTAGTGTTAATGCATGTATGGAATTAAATGTTTGATTGAGGTTGTTTTTTAATTTTTGCTAACATTTGCCATGTATACACTCAGGAATTTTATTGCATGCCATTAATGCAGGTCACATTCCACTTGCAGTGAGTGCAGGTCATTGCTCTTTTGATTCATTGTTTTAATAGTCACACACAGTTTTCCCTCATAAACGAAAACTCTTTTGCTTTTATATTTGCGATTACATGTAGGGTGAAAAGACTCATTTTTTTTCCTTTTTGTTTATCTCTGGAACAGGTCCTGTCTGGGGCATGTCTCTGACATATAGAATGTGACCTGTATTTAAATTGCCAAAAATAAAAAATTACTTTGCTGTTGTTTCTCAAATTGAAGAGTCATGAGACTTGTCCCTTGAGACAAGATTCTCATCTCTCAAGACACTTGCTTGTCTCTAAAGACAAAACTCTTATCTGGTAGAGGTTGGTAATTTTCTCCTGTCCAGTTTTGTAACTTCAAACCAATCACTACATGAACAACTTTACTTTTTTTCAGCAACCAGGGAAACATTTAAGTATAGACACAAGATTTTCAGAGCTCAGCCTTGGTAAGACAACAGGTTTGACTTGACCAATAGTATAGACTATACCACTGTTACTTATAATAAAAAAATTCCCTTTAAAGAAGCATTTGAAGCATTTAGGTAATTCAATAAGAGATCAATCAATCAGTCAGACATTCCATCAAAGAGTCTGATGGTCCCACGGAAAATTCAGCGGGTGTTGAGAAACTTTCAGTGTTAGCATTTTAGCATTGTTTAAATCTGGTGATATTGGCAAGGTATGAAAGCAGTCAAAAATTATCAAAGGCTCACCAAAATGCCAAGACACTTGTTTGAAAAATCCAAGTTGTTGTGGCAAAAAGTTACAGTGCAAACACTTAGTGGCTTGTTACAAAAGTTAAATGCTTCCTAGATATTTTGACCAGATCTTAATGAGACCTCATGATTATTTCCTTGGTGCCATATCCGGTCCACCAATAGCCTGCGAGCAAGCTCTCCTATTTGGGCAAGCGAAGCGAGCCTCACGAGAACGCGCGAGCGAGGGGCCGAGGAAAAGAGAGCTTGCAACCATCTCTCATAAATTTTCATTTCCACCCTGGAAACCCCGGGACTCCGCAAAGCGTGAAAATTGTCACCGCAAACGTGCGTCAGATTAGAAAAGTGACAACCGCCTGTCAAGTAAGTTTAGACAGCCGAGGGCGCGTAGAATGATTTATTTATAAATCGCTTTCGCGACAGCATTAAAGCAATGTTGTTAGTATCACTGATATGTTTTTTTTTTTTTTTTCACGGGGACATCAAACTTCAAAGTGTCCGCTCGGATAAGAACTCACTACTTTTATTCTCGTTTCGTTTACTTTTGAAAGGTCGTCCATACTGCAGCGTAGAAATCTACTCCCCATCGCAATCACCAACAAAAACATCATATATTTGTCCGTCTGGAACTGGAGAATAGCGTTTCCGGCACTTGGTTCTCGTAAGGTTTATTCCAGTTGCTTCCAACTCTTTCTCTTTTCCTTCTTTACGATCAAACTACACAGCTACACTGTCAAGTACACGTTTCTGAATTTTTCTACCCAGTAGAATTCAATCAGGTGAAGAAACCGATGTTGGAAGACAGCGCTTTAATCACTCTTCACGTTCATTCTCCGGGTTTTCAGAACTAAACAAGGCGCTTGACACAAATGAATACAACTGATGAAGAGTTTTCATTTTCCTTCTACAAGAACTACAAACTCGGTCCGACTTATCCTCAGCACACAATATTCTCTTTGCGAGAATTTAATTACAACAAATGAGCCCGTCTGCATTGAGGGCTGAAACAAGTTCTCGGTACCAATCTGATCCCCTGAGAACCAAATTTGACACACAGGTGAAGCGGGTGCCAGCTTGGCCTGTTATCAATCAACTTTGATTTCCGGAACGTCATTTTTCAGCCAATGGTATTTCCCTTCGTCTGGGCGAAGTACAAATGAAAATTTGTAGGGGATGGTTGCAAGCTCTCCTTTCCTCTGCCCCTCGCGGCTTCGCCGCTCGCTCGCGCATTCTCGCGAGACTCGTTTCACTCGCCCAAATAGGAGAGCTTGCTCGCAGGCTAGTCCACCAACCAAATTCCCCAAGAATTTTTTTGGAAGATGTTAAGTCTTTATGGTTACCAAAGTTAAAAGTGCATTCCGGGTAATAACTGTCCAAAGCTTACTTGTGTTCACTGTAAGTATTGCATTCACAAATTGATTTTTCTAGCTCGAATTGTTAAATAATGTGTCTTTTTTACTTCCTTTCTATTGATGCAAAAGTTAATGCACTATTGTCAATTGTAGGGTGTATGTTTTCAACATTATATCATGGGGGCATTGCATTGTAAAATAATAATAATACTAATAATAATAATAATAATAAGATGATATGGATTCTTCTTTGGCTTCTCTTGGAGAATGCACAGAGATAGTTTGCATGAATCTTTGTTGCTGAGAGAAAAATAGACAGTTTTATGACATAACTGTCTAGTATTTTACTTATTACTGTTTTTTCCTTGTTTAGAAGACTCCTCATTTGTTGCTGAAAGTGAACGAGAACAACATAGATATGGTGCAAGTAGATCCACTTCTAGGAACAAGAATAATCTGAGCAGGGTACAGGTTCCAAAAGGGAATTTTTATATCAGTTCACCATTCAAACAAGGCCCAGAAAAAGATACTAAAGGACCAATAATGGTAGGTCAGTGTGACTTAAGAGTACTCTTTCATTCAGCTGTATGTTCGTTCTTTTGTTCGTTCATCCATTGATTCTTTCATTCATTCATTCCCTCATTCAATCATTCATTCATTCATTCTTTCTTTCTTTAATTCTTCTGTTCGTTCGTTCACTCATTTATTTGTTCATTCGTTCCTTCATCTGTCCTTCTATCCATTTCTTGTTCTTTCATTCATTCAGATGACCTCAGCCGAGCTAGTCACCTTGCCATCCAGTTGTCTCCTCAGTTAATATAAAT